AATGTTATTTTGAGCTTGCTTACAAATATCAATATTTTTTAATTTTTTTAAAATTATAGATATAAATTAGTTGAGTACAAATAACACATACCTCAATACACTTTTTATTATTCAGTTGATTCGTTACAGGGCATTCAATTTTCATGTCATAAATTGAATTATTCAAAACATAATACATCTGTTTTAAAAAAGCGCTTATATAGTCTTCTAGAGTAGAAATTTTGCTGCATTCACTATAATAAAAAAGAACAAGAAGTCTTAGATAAAAAAACATTGCTACTAAATGAATTTCATGGAATAATATCTATAATAATATTATACTTGTAATTTATATGTATTGTATTTTATATACTAAATAGATGTAAATTGTTTACAAAATCAGTAATATAGTATGTTATTATTGAATAACTGAATTAATTAGATTTTTTTATTGTGAGTAATCACAAACACTACTAAACTATTATTCAATACTAAAACAAAATATGTGTAACTAATATAATAATAATACTGAATATAGTAACAACTTACAATGTTTTATGTTCTTCCAATAATCTCATCAAATTATTATGCGCCGGCATAAAAGATTGCACACATGAATTTGCTCGACAATACAAAGAGCAAATCTTAAGCGCATCCATTGAAGATGATTTGGGTTCCAAAAGAGCTAATTGGTTGTATGCATGACCAAAAGCTGGTGCTACTTTGATTGCTTGCCTTAAAAAAAAAAAACAAATGTAAATCTTGATAAAGCAAATTTCAAACAGTGTTTTAATAAAGTTTTTCAATCAATACATACTCATAAAAATTTTGCGCCTGTTCTTTATGTCCTTGATATCTAGCCAGATCTCCAAGATGAACAAGGCAGTATTGTCCTACAAAGCTCAAATCCGTACTGGAATAAAAGCAATAATAACAATCCACACTATAATAACTTACTTTTATATATATTTAAAAAAAAATTATATATAATTCTTAACTAATACCTGATTTGCAACACATCTTTATGAGCACCCCAAGTAGAATTCAGTAAATTTATGTAAAATCCTGATGCACCAGATAAATACCACGATAATACAGCAGAAAACTCAGACTTTTGTGTGACATTGTACTTAAATTAAACCATAAATTTTCAAAAATATGACATTTTTTTGTTAAAACTATATAATTCATTAATCTATTATAGTGTATAATTCGAAATTATTTTAAACAAACCTCCTTATTTTTTATCAGATCTTGCAAAGATGAAATACAAAGTTTGAACCCAATATTCCATAAATCTTGATCAATTTTATTAGTGAGTGCATAGTTAATGTCAATAACGAATATATGACGATAAATATGCTGAAGCTCTTTTAGCAAAGCAATAACATTCAAAGTTGCAAAATCTTTAGGCTCAAATTTTGTTAGTTGTTCCTTTATAACATCAGCTTTCCTACAAAACAGTAAAAAGATATACATTATAGTAAATAATAAATAAGATATATACTATAGTAAAGATCTAAAAAAAAAATGTGTCTTAAATGCATGTTACTTATAACTTTATAATTCAATTTGATATTTATATTGTCGAAGATGTTTAAAAACAGCAACAAAAAGTCACAATGCTAAAAAGTTGAAGCATTTACAAATGTGAACAAAACATAATCTAAACTATTTATTAATCCCAAAATTTAGATGGGTGATAAAAGGTAGATTTTATATGAAATTGGTTCAAATGCTATTATTCAACAATAATAAACTAAATCTTCAATCTAATAGAATATTATATATGCCATGTGCATGTAAGCACTGATCTTCTAAAATTAATCGTTACTACAAATTAATAAAAATGTATCAAACTTTTATTATTGTTGGATTATAGTAAACACCCAAACACACAAAATATATATGGGTATAATAAACAGTTCTTGACACAATAACAATTTGATTGTTTTCTCAAGCCCATAGCATTCCACATCACAAATAGATAAATATTTCCATTTATCTTCTTTGATTTACCTAAGAAATTCTATCGCTGCTTTTACAACCATGTCAATAAAACCAATGCATATAATAAATACTATGCAAAATATAACAATATTTTTTCAATTATTTATTATATTGTTATACTTTGGATGCGAATATTTAAATAAAATTCACTTTCATTTCACATATTTTTGACAAATCTGCCTGTAATCAAGGTTGACAGTTCAGACGTTGATAGCACTCAGAGACCACGTGATGGCAGGGTGAGGACTTCACAACGCTTGTGACGTTGTTCACTCCAGTCTCTTGAGCTCAATAGGCAAGGCGGCTGCGACATATTTCACTCGTAGATGTACGCGGCTAATTTAAAATTGTCGCACTGTCATGCTCTAATAAAAGATTCACTCTTATATAACGAAATTTTAAGCAACTATCAGAATCACGTTTAAATAATTTGGTTTGAATTTCTCTGTCATAGATTTGACAGTTGAAAATAAATATAAATACATATATTTGTCACCATGCAAAAAGTACAGGTTTTCAAACTTTGTAAGTTAACTTCTAGTATATTACTATTAAAATAAACAAAAATGTATTATTGATATATGTATATGATTACATTCATGTTTCTGTAGCTAAATATAATAGAAAAAAAAGAAAACTAAATTAAACATACGTATAAAATTATTTAAATATATTACACACACATCACGCATATATATATATATATATATATATATATAATCAAAATACATACTCTTTATTCTAAAAGAGTGTATGTATGTATATATGTATTTATATTTGGACTCGTTATGTTATTATAATTAAATTTGTTATTTAGGTTATTATATTTAGACTCGTTATTTATGTTTATTTATATTTATATTAGATTTGTTATATATATATATATTTATATGCATAGATAAAAGAAGTGTGTATGCATAGATAAATAAACATGTGTGTATGTATGTTTATATGTATTTTAGACTCGTATTAAAAGACTCGTTACAGTAGAAACAGATACACATGTCATTTATCATAAATTTATATACCTCAATTTATCATAACTTTTTCAGAATGAGCTAAAATGATTTAAAATACTTGTTAAAATAACGTATAAATCAACCATCCAAAAGTTTTTAGTGTTGCTTCCTATTGTAGTCGCTGCCTCTCGTACTAATCTATAATGTCACCATTGTTTGAGGAAATTCTTGAATGTCAATTTTTGACGTCTTAAGTCAAACAATTGTTTGTACTTGTTTACTCCCAAAACCATTATAAAACCTAAAAACACGTCCAAATATCTAGTGTAAAAAATAAACAAAACGAAGCAAGGAATTTAATAACATTATTGTTTTGTGAATACAAATTATTGACAACATGACAGACAATCCTAAGCAAACTGAAGAAGTAAAATCTAAAGTTACTGAGAAAGATGTTCCACCAGAGGTTGATCGAACACTAACAGATAAGTTAAATAAGAAGTTACTCTCATCATTCCTGGAACGAATGAATAATGGATCCATTGACAACGTTTTTAAAGATGACAAAAAATCCTACACTCCAGGTGGGGAAGACGATGAATTTGCACCTTAATATCTCCATCACAAAAGACCATTTTATATAAAGTATTTATAGAATAGCATATTGATATATTAATATAAAACTGCTTTATACAACTCCACGTATATTCAAATCTTCTTGTATAAAAATGTGATTTAGCTTTTTATTTGTGACTTGAACAAGCGAGCAATGATATTTATACTTTTATAAATGTGTGTTATTCAGGAACTATGAAATAAATATTCTATACTCTCTAAAACATAACTGTTTGATTCGTTGACATTTAATATCAATGAAATTTAATAAACCATAAAACATACATCTACACGCAGAGCGTATGATAATGCAACTATTATTTTGTAATGGTTCCAAAAGCTTTCAGACATTTTGCAGCTTTGCAGCTATAGCTTTAAATCCTCAGTTATGCAAATAATTTTGATGATTTTTATAAACACATTTTACTCAATTTGAATATAATAAATATCGAGTTGAATCCATGGACTACCATCCATGATTTTAACTTATTTATTATATTCTTAATAATCACAGTAACTTTTAATTATTCATGTTTTTTAATGTACAAAATAGTTTATAGTTTATATACACTTTTTAGACACTATTTTGATATTACAAGTTAATTTGTGTCTTGAGCAGCTATCAAAAATATATTTTAAATTTTGTTTAAAAAAAATTGAACCTGAAAAAAAAGATTTATCATAGGTATATATTCAAATAAAATAATGGGATTATAAAGCATGATTTATATTATAAATATAAAATAAATACACATAAGTACATTTTACAACCAAATTACTTATTTAATGATTGCTAATTTAATTTTGATGCAGAAAGCATTCTTTCAAGCTCTTTTTAATATATAATCATATTAAAATCATTGTATTATGTAATAAAATTTAATTCAATATAATTAACACACTGGTTATTAATTTACTACTAATAAATCTAAATTAAATTTATAAATACTGAAATGTAGGAATTTTTAACTTTGGTAAATTCGAATTTAAATCATTAGCCCTGCTGATCTATTGCATGAAAACTCTGAACTAAAATAACGGTTTGTTTGTAATCAATGCACTTAATTCATAAGTTACATTACATATCACAGTCATGACTTAAATATCTAATTGTTTTTCCAGAAACAAACTTAAGTTTAAAGAAATGCATGATTGGAGCAATGCTCACATACCTAAGTCAGAACAACTGTGTTTACAACAAAAATCTTATTCGAAACATAGAAATTGGTATTTTGAGTAATAAATATTATAAATAATTATGACAACACTTGAACGTGTTGCTTTAATTTTATATACTGAAAATTAATTTTACCGCATGTTTCTTATAATAAATTATAAGAAACAAACAGTATTATCAAGATTACATATTTAATGTAATAATAATAAAAGTATATATTGGAAAATACTTTCCAAATTCATAATTCTTATATAAACACAATTTTGTTTTAACCACATTTGTCCATAAAACGCAAATTTGTAATAATATTACAACTTTATAAAAGTTATAAACCGTCACTAGTAAACACGGATTCATATTTCTATGAAAACGCATTGATGTCAAATCCACAAAACTGTTTTGTACTATCATTTATTCGCAGAAGCACCTCACGGTTAGATAATGTTCAAGTAACATGCAATTGAGTATTTATTATTCATCCATCTTAATTGCTCATGATACAAGTGTTGCAGAGCGAGATGAACAATTTTTGATCGATGGACATGTCATTGATTGGTGGACTTCTTCAATAACCTGGAAAAGGAATGAAAAATAATTTAAATGGTTTTATACAAATATATACAATACATCAACTACTAGTAAAAAAGTTTTGTGATAAATGAAAATATTCTGTTAAAAAATACAGAAAAGGAGATTACAATGTTTAAAAAAATTATCAAAGTAACAAAACGATAACATTTTGGAAAACGTATTCAATTTACTCATATGTATTCGATATGAAATAAAATCTTAGTTATTCAACTCACCTCAATTAGTTGATCCATGCCATGCAAGAAGCCCTCTTCATGATTTCCAGGCGTCCACGGTGATCTATGATCTACTCTTACACCTTCCGGTAGTCTTCTAGCTTTTGCAAAATCTATCAACCAGGCACCAACCTTGGTATCGTCAAAAGCTACAAACACACTACTACCTACAACTTCGTGTGTGGCAAAAAATTCGGATCTCTCAGCTAAATCTCTCATTTCACGAAGTCTCTTAAGGAGTTTAGAAGCAACATCAGATCGCTTGGCACGACCGCCCCCTCCTAGGAATAAGGAAACAGTTCGTGCAACATCACTATGAGAGCGCACTCGTTTCAAATCGCTTAGAGGTGCTGATCCGCGCACTTTCAGAGCTTCGATACGAAATCCCTGTAATAAAAATATATAAATTAATAAAAAACAATTACAGAAAAAAATAACGCTTATTTTACAAAAGTTGATTTTTGTATTTACCTTGCTTTGCGAGCTGCTCAACTGCTCCCTAAACGTCATATATCTCATTTTGGTAACTGCCCCCGCTGCCTTTTCCTCGGCCGTTGGTGCCTCAGGATCAACCTCGACCATTTTCCTGAAAAGATCTTTCCGCGCTTCCGAGTTTCCGACCTCACTTTCCAAAAATGTTCGTCGTCCGATCTTAATATCCATTACATGAGGATCTCGGAATCCATGGAGAAGATCTTCCAATTCAATGTAACGGTCTTCGGAATTGGACGCGGAGGAGAATTCGCCCAAATAGGCTGGAGCTAATCGCGATGCTAAGGGATCGGCGGCCAATTCACGGTAAGCGCGGGCTTCGTGATCTCCTTCAGCACGGGAGAGTCGCTTACAAACAGCTCCTAAAATTAGAAATATACTTATTAGAAAATTGATTGGCAGAAGCATAACTTAATACAACTTTAAATATAAAACAAAATTCTAATGATCAAATAAAAATCGTTAATATAAAATAACCAAGATGAAAAAGTTATTTTTTTTTTTATTTTTACCTGGTGCAGAAGGTGCAATGCTAGCAGGATGTCCAGACAATTGGATCCATTCACCATTAGGAGATGTTACATTGTTAACCTGCATGGTTCCGTTGCTAACGGTGTTACCGTTGACATTGGCAGTTGTATTATTATTTATTTGAGGCGAAGTTAGGTTTTCCCTGGTCGCCACGGCCATGGCTACTTGCGGATGGTGAGTAACTACGATAGAAGCCGCCGAAGAGTTGGCACCGGTGCGCGTTTGCAAAAGTGCCGGACTAGCTGGAGCGCTCAATTCTAAAGCATTCTGAGGAGGAAAAAGAACAATTAATCAGGCAATTTAGACAATGAAACTTATTCTAACTATCGTACTATTATTGCTCAATACAAAGTTTCAATGGTAAACAATATTTATTATTAATAAGCCCAACTTTTTCTATATTTAATTTATGGGCAAATACCCGAAACTCATTGGTTCAATATTTACTTGAGTTATCTGTTGAATTTTTATTTATCTCGTGTAAATATATTTATCAATTTATTATCATGGATTGCCAATCGATATTTTTAGTACAAGTATTATTAGAGATAACGTAAGATTAAAATTATCGGTGTTCGTATTTACATAAAAGGTAATAAAAAAGTAATAAATTATGTATGGGTTTAATGTTTAGACTCACTTTCCGTAAGAGTCGGATAAAATCATGAATGCGTATAAAATCTCCAAAAAGATCTCCAAAAATTTTTCGTCAAATGAAATTTAAATTGTATGTACACAAATTTGATAAAGGTCCCTTTTCAGTAAAACTACTTCATTAAAAAAATATGATGTAGAGTTCATTGATGCAATTTAATTGAAAAGAAGTGATGTCATGAAAGCTTCATTAAAAATGAATCGTACTTACTCAAGTACAGTTGTATGAAAGGTGTAACAATACACAATGTTTGTAAAATTATAGGGAATTATATCGATTGAAGATATTTTCTATCTCACATGAGGTAGTGTAAACTGCCTAGTCCCATATTTTAATTATTTATATTTAATAATAAACACTGTTATTTAGTATAAGAGGAAACACCACTTGAAATCTAATAATAAAACGATACTGAGTCTGCTCATATAAGTTTCTCATACACCTGTGCGCAATTATCGGTGCAAAACACAATGCACTGATAAGGTTTCGAATTTTCTGATAACCAGACTTTTCTCTTATTTTCAATTGTTGAAGTAATTGCATACATTCTTTATTATTTTGTTCCAACGATAAAACAAGCAATAAAATAAATGTCTCATTAGGTTTATTACCGTGACCGTCACATTATTGCACGATTTTTCTCATAAGTCTTCAGCAGTCGTATATGTTTGAAATAATATATGGCAAAATATGAGTACAAAGTACCGACTGTGCCCAAAAATTCTTTATTTTAAGATTCAAAAAATTTGCTCGTTTGATTTTTGAATATTTAAATCATTCACGTATATTTAAATTGTCGAACAATGTGAATTCCAATTAAATTCTAAAATTCCTCGAGTAAAAGAGTCATGTTTCGAATCTATCTGAAGAATTATTTTTGTCAGGATGTGACAAATTTATATTTTGCTACTAAAATGTTTTTACTTTTTTTGTATCATATGCTTAAACTGGATGTATCGAATTTTGAAATATTTATGCTTTTAATGTAATTTACAGAAGATTATTTTTTTTTAATCTTAATGAATCAACATACATATAATTCTATAAGCTACAATTTAATATTAAAATATAAAAAAATAAAAATCCAAAATGTATTTTAGAAGAAATACAAAAATTAAATAAATGTATATATCAGGATCATTCCAGTGAGTAATACGTAGTCGATTAAATAAACAGATTTTTAATGAAAATTGCCTAAAGAGATCTGAATGTATGAAATAATACATCATAGATCACAAATTTTCTTAAAGCGATTTAAACTGTTACATTCTTTCATAACGCGATAAAAAAAAACAAAAGTATAATCTTGCAGATTGAAAAAAATTCTAATGTTGATCTTATTTTTGAAGAATATTACAAAAGTTAACACTTTATAAATTTTGAAGATTATTTGAATAATTTTCGTAAAAATAGGAAAACACTGCACTGTATAATTAACTTAGTATTTACCATATTTCCAATAATATAATTTTCACCAAAGAATAATTGCTTTAACTATATTTCCTGTAACTAAAACCACGATAGCAACTCAACGTAGACAAGAATACTGCTTGAATGTACTAATAAGTTTACGATATTTGTGAATTAAAATTTAAAAAAAATTCCATTAAATTCGAATACCAAATAAAAAATTTACGTCAACGCCATAAAAATATTAAAATCTTAAATCGGTCCATTGTCCCGCGGTTATAAATTACAAATAAATTGTTTGTACTCGCATTTTTTATACGACAAGGTATAAAAATACCAACGCCGTTCTTAATTATGGCTAACAATTCAAATAGAGATAAGGTCGCTAATTGTATATTCACAAGATAAACAATGCAATCGGGAAATGTATTTCTAAGAAAGGTTTACATTAACTAGTTATATATAAGCCAGTGAAAAAATGCATTATTGGATAGGTCAGTGGCAATATCAAGAACAATGTTTGTTATCAACATTCCTTTGAAGTGATTTAATAATGATATTTCAAATTTCCATTTCAAAACAGAACGAACCATTGAACTCAATATACCAGATACTTATACACCATCCACTCATTTTGTGTAAAAATAATATTAAACATCAATGAGAAATAAAATAAAACTTACGATGGCTAAAAATTTGAGGAGAGACATATCGCTTCTATGAGAATGTTTTCTACTCGTCCAGTATTTTCCAAGTGGTCTTTGCTCAGGGTCCTGGAACAAAAATTAACAAATTTTTATTTAGTTTTATCTTAAAAATGTAATTTAAGATGAAGCAATTTATAATATATGTTGCCACAAAATTGATGTGACGGTTAATGAATATTTTATGTATGATCCATCATGTACATATGACAATATTTCACTTTCAAAAATATGCCGATAACAATGCTGAAAACCCATTTTCATGGATACACATGGAGGTATTCTGCATTTATTTGCATTTTGTTTAAATTTACTTTGTTGTTTTCGATGGCTTTGTTTGGAAAATCCGAAGATTATTGAACCTCGCAATGAAGGCGCACGCATTAATTAAAATACATAATAATTAAATCCAAACGTATATTTAGAATAAGAACGTCAAAATGTAACATTTTACAATGGAAATATTTTGCATTTATGAATTTCTGACGTCTAGGGAAAAATTTAAGTTTATTTTGATATAAAGATAACAATATTAGTAAATGAAATTTGGTAATATTCTATTTTAGCGAATATCCTGTATGAAGTGTTACTGTTATTAACTTCCGGAAAGAAATTTTGTTCTCCAGAAATCCAGATTTGCTAATTTTATGTTTTACCGATGTTTCAAGTCATTCCGAATCGTTTGGCGCAAAAATGGGAAAAATCATTCGTAAAAGCATCTTTAGTCCACGTTCTCAAAAACAGCTGCATCAATTTCAAAATTTTAAGGCCATTTGATGAAACTCGGTAAGGAGTCGAATTGATTTTCGAGAATCGACCGAACCATTTCTTTAGAAATAGCAGTTAAAGTTTTTGCCAAAAATCTAGAGCCGATTTAATGCTGATGATCCTAAGGAACGCCTTAAATATTGTAGAATTACTAATAAACTTCCCGTAGGGCAAGTTATAGTAATCGCAAAAAAATGAAAATGTTTGTATATCTTTACGTTTCAGAGGTTTCTGAATATTTTGGCACACCTTAGAAAAAATGGATGTATGTATGTGTATGCGGATACAAATTTTCGTCGATTTCGGAAACACGGAGAAGCAATTTGAATAATTCAAAAAACATTCGATTCGTATTGATAAGGAGACGTGCTGATTAGTTTTTGGCGGAGGCAGGTCTAGCCGTTCCGAAGATACGGAGCATAAAGTGCCAAAACCAGTTTTTAAGAAAACGGAGCGTCCGATTTTAATAAATCAAAAAACATTTTACTTGTATTGACAAGATGAAGAATTGATCAAATTTTCATGAAGGCAGGTCTAGCGGTTTCGGAGATCTAATGAAAAAAGTAAAAAGAAAATGCCATTTGGCGGTCAAAAATGATCATTAAACATATGCACATAAAATTATCAGATATTTTATAGAGATTTTAACAATAAATATAAATTTTGTTTACATTCCTATGGGTTCCGAATTTCCAAAATATGTCAAAATAAAGAAAACATTTTTCAAAAAAATGTAATTTTTTGTCAAATTTATAGTTTCTCAAAAATCTAATTTCATCGAAGTAATTTTTTTTCAAAAATGTTAATCGTTTTTAAGGAAAGTTCCAGCAATTTTCCTTAAGGCACGATGCCATGCGCTCCACTAGTTTATCGTGACAATTTTAAAAGTTGATGGATCTCAATCCTAAAAAGAATCCTTATCGATTTAGTCACATCGGAAATTCAATACAACTTGCCTTAAGGCAAAATGTAGCAGCTGGTTTTATTATAGTTTTAAGACCTTGAAGATTATAAAATGAACTATTTAAAGAATTATTTAGATAAATATATTTAATCCAATTCTGGTTATTCACAAAGTGCCTATCTTGTAACAACTCCTTTGATATAAATATATCAACCATAAAAAACAGGTAATGGAATGGAATAACACTCGACTACTGAACCATCTGTTGTGCAATTCAAATGCTAATTAATAAAAGTGAATGGCGATTATTTTTGCATTCTTTTTCATAACTTTTTTCAACTAGAAACCGCTTCTGTGGCCAGATTGTGATTTGTGATGGATGTGCGAACGAGAAATCGTGTCACGCACGAGCTGAGAATTACAATACCTGGTCAGATAAACAAAATAGATTATCTAGCAAATGACGTCAATGGAAGAAAGAAAGATATTGGTATAATATGTAATGACGGCAGTAGCAGTGCTTAGAAAGTAACACGGCACGAGGTCGGACCTCGGAATGGAACTAGATGGAAGAATTTAAACGATTTATTTAAGCCCGGAGTGATCGCATTTTGGAGACCTCCATTTATAATTAGAGGTATTTCAAATTAAAATGTGAATAACTCATTTGGGAATTTGATATTTCAATTACTTTGCGGCGGGCGTAGCTCAGTGTTAGTATACCAAAGATCCACGGATCGAGTTAAGGCAGTGTAAGATAATTGTAACACCAAATAATAAAGATGATAAAAATAATATGGAGATTAAATTTGATTAGGCCTTAAAATATAAAGTATGTTAAAACTAATATAATATACTTGCAATTGAATATGATGCAAAAAGAATCCAAAATTATGCAGAACTTTTAATAGATTAAGACAGCGGTTTCCAACCTGTGAGGCGCGCCAGGTTGCTCTAAGGGGAGCGCGTACATCAGTTTTCAGAATACTATTATCGTTAATAATTTAACATTGTGGAAACGATATTAATTTTTTTTTAAAATAGCTTGTATGCATATTTGTACATAATATTGCATATTATGTATTGATTTGTAGTCTGATAATATCAGTTTAGTATTTATAAAATTAAACTGTTGAAAAAAATAAAGAGAGGCGCAACATTTTTTTTTTTATCATAGCAGGAGGGCCGTGCAAGAAAGGTTGGAAACCACTGAATTAAGATGAAGTATGTATTGTCTTGAAGTATCTATGTCTTTATTTTTTACATAATAAAGTATGCAAAAAAATAAGGAATAAGTTAATATTTTAAACTCGTTGAGTTGAGGCCAATTAAATTAAAGAATGTTATTTCTCACCTGAATTATGAGAGGCACATTATGAGAGGCAAATTCTACCTAAAATTTTTATACTTTATTAGGAATAGCTAAAACTACTTGATTTCGGGATTGTATTACAGTGTAATTACACAATTACACAATTATTTTGATGTAATTCATCATCAATGATACTAGTCATAATGTATTTAATATTGAATAATTGGGTTTTATTTAATTAACAAATTTGATTATACGTAATGCAATAAAAGTTACTCAACATTGTTTTTACCAAAAATTTCGGTTGCAAAAACGTCAAAATGTGCAAAAATGTGATTGGTTTCAATAATATCGTGTGATGAAATTATGAAATTAAATTAAAATTAGGAAACAAGCATGGAAACGTTCAATTTGGTAAATAAAATATTGTTGAATATAATTGTAACTTGAATTTACTGAAAAAAGTATTGAATTTTGCGGAATAATAGTTAAATATTGAACGAATTCTAGTATAATTATCCATAGAAATTTGCGTTTCATATCGTAACAAACAGAGAAAACGGTATTATGCATAAAAATGAAATTGTTATTTTATTGCTGTTTTATTACTCGGTGAATGTAAATAAAATATATGAATACTTGTAGTTCTCTAATTACGAACATGAAATATTTTAAATTCATTTGCTTTGATTTGAAAGTTATATTTCTAAATATTAAATGGGAAAAATAAAGTCATTTTTTAATACTATGAAAAATTATACTAATGTAATTATTCATGTTATATTATTTTTGTTTTAAAAAATTGCTCAATTTTATTTGGTTGCATTTGAAAATTGAAATCGATTTCTATCTATAAAATGGAATATGCTAAGTTAGTGTTACTAAAGAATATTCAATGCATGGAAAATTTTGTATTTTCGTGTATAACGTTTTAGTATACAACAATATCTACATGATAATATATATACAATAAAATATCCAAACATCAGATGCCAATTCTATCTCGACTGACTGAAGCAGATGTTCGCGCGAGATTACATTTGCTCGCGCAAAACTAGCAAATACAAAATTCCGCAAATAAAGTTTAAATATAATTTAAATATTTATGATGCCTCCCGTTGTTTATTTTGCATGTAAAAAGCTACAAGTCAAGGAGAAACGCGATGTACGCTGGAGTATGTCATAACAGTACATATTTTATTCAGGAGTAACAGATTCAAGAATATTGCAATTCAATTATGCATTCGAGAGTATTATAATAATTATAATAATATATTCATTACACGTTCACCTGGGTGCAAACTGAAAATTTTGGTCTTGCATAAAAAAGTATTAGAAATGGATTTTAATTTCTCCATCGTATGACAATTCTGTAATCAGAACTTCCTCAGCAGTCAGAGCAGAGTGATAAAAATGATCATGGATGAAAAATTTAATGTAAGTGCTCAGAATGGAATTGAATGATACAATTATCAAAACCCCATGAAGTTTTTTCTTATTTTTATATATTTTATATAAAATATAGCATCGGATTACAAATGTGAATCGGAAGAGAATCTGTTGACGCAATTGTTCGCATTCACAACAGCTCGTGCGTCAATGGACGCGGCTTAAAATGCTAAATCTACAAAAAATATGGAAATCTGTCAACATATATAAATATATTTATAAATATATTTATAAACGGATCACATATTTACATTTCGTATTAATGAGGTGGAAAATATGAAGTATCCATATATGCCCGCATGTTCATAATGAATAAAAAAGTTAAATGGTTTGATCCTTTGAATATCGATTTTATTGCCTATTGATTGTTTTCATAAATAATATTTAATTGCAATAATATGTACGATTAATTCCTATATTCAAAAAAGCTTTCGATATTATTGCCAAACAAATTTTGGAGCTTGCCTAATAGGTGACACCGATTAGTACTTAGTCATTTTGCTATGGCAGTGTTTTCAGCAAGAGTGACGACACTGCTGTACGGGAGAGCAAGCAGTCTAGTAATTACTGTAGACCAGACACAAGATATTTGAAGGTTTTGCAATCACCAATAAAAATATATTTAAAAATCAGAAATTACTTTTCGAAAGGCCTGAAAATTACAATAGTCCAGTCATTTAAGCTTTAATTAAGTAAGAATCTTGGAATTCGATTGTATATTGACACCCTAAAGTTGACACAAAACATACATTTGGTAGGGTGTCAATACCATATGTAGGTTTTGAGACAACTTTAAGATGCCAATATACAAGTATTTGCAGGCTTAGGGGTCGTCCATTAATCACGTGAGGTTTTTAGGTGGAAGGGTGGTTTGACAAATAAAATCACGAAATATATCGTGGGGGAAGGAGGGGTGTAGTAAGATATCACGTGTATTTATGTTTTAACTGATTTTTAAGAAAAAAATCAAACATTCTCAAAAAAAAATTAAAAATATTACAGATTTGTCACATGTCTAAAAATATTCGCGATGTTTGGTTGGTAGGGGGTGGGGTCATTTTGAATATCACCATGAATCACCAAGGGAAAGGTGTGGTCCAAAAATCATTAAAAACTCGCTCACGTGATTAATGGACGCCCCCTTACAGCTGGGTATCTCCAATTTCGAGATGAACTTACTATAATGACTGGATTACAAGAACAAACTATAATTCCCAAAGAATTAATTCAGAGTGAAAAATCTTGAGAAAAGTGTCGAACCAAGGGATGTCTATAGGTAGCTATGTGGATGTCGCCTTTAGACAACGCTGGTAAGAAGAGGGTTAAATAGTTAATACCCAAATTTGGCAATTATGGATAAACAAGAAATCCAATTATATATTTGGTTAATCTTGATTGATTACATTGCAGGCTTGTAGAGAAGAGAATACTAGAAACAGTAATTTTATCAATATTCTGCCTAACGAAACTTATTGTCACGAGTTTATAATTTTCACTATCTCCACCGCAACTGGTAATTATATAAAACGCAGTAATTTGCTACAATACTCACAGGAAACATTTAAAGATATGCATAATCTGGTGTTTGTACAACTAATCATTTTTACATAGAGAAATGTTTATATTCTCTTTAAACCGCAATTTCAATGTTTGCTATTTATTTCGATTAATGCATCTGCTAATAAAGATTGATTATTATTACCATAGATTGCTATACTATGATATCATTTTCCAAATAATTACAGTATGTTTTCATGCAAAACTTGCTCATCAGTCGGTCGAATTTAAATTGTTTGAGATGACTAACGCATTTCACGGTCATCGAGCGCGAAGTAATTTAGCAAACAGCCATATGTTACTGTCAATAGTTCGTTCGCATTGACGTCATTGATTACTGTCAAAGACGATGGAACTTTCTCGTATATCAAACGTCTCATATATATTACTGAATTCTAATAAGAAGACCATTGTATGGACGGAGGAGGCAAGTTTTTTATATTTAGCAATAGATATTAAAGGCTGGCTAAAGTTGAGATACACCCATTGCTTTGTCTAACAATAAGACCAACTACTGTACGATGGGTTGTTGCTTAATTAGTATTGATGTACTTCGAGCTATTAATTGTTCTTTATTTTTTTTAAATTGACCAAGACTGATAAATTGCAAAGAATAAACTGGTGGTTTCAGATACAAAATAGATGCTTATGAAAATATTGAGAGTTATTTGAATTTTGAAGTACATGATGGGTCATTTAAAGTGGAAGCAATGGTCAAGAACTCCATTTTGTATTCTAGGCCAAAGGTGACCGCCTACGCGGTATCATTTTCAATAAATAAAATGAAACGATGTTTTTCGTAATTTTCTTCAGAAATGAATGTTTCCACTTTATGGCCTAAAGCCCTGTACTTGTGGATGAAATGTAATTTCAATTTAATAACAATTATGTTTAGCGAACTGTAGCTAGTCAGTCATGATAACTATTGTCAAATCCATAGAAATCAGATCTGTGGTGATCTAAGCCAAATAATCCCAGATTTTAATACTTCTGATATTTTGCATTTAATAGAATACTTTTCGCCGTTACTCTAAAATACAAAAGATCTTTTCTTTTATCTAATAAAGAATGCCCAAAAATCATTCTAAGAACATTTTTGAACTATTAAAACACTAAAATTGACCCAAAGCAGAGTTTATCGCTTCATCCTAAGAAATATGCTAATATTAATAGTTAACCACAAAACTTGTTGGATAAAAAGTTGGAACCGTTAACTCCGGTTTTAATGAATATTGAAATTAGCGAAACTTGTTTGCTAAATTCAAATTCAAATGACGTAAATCGGAGACATCAAAATTAGTATTTCAATTGTTTGATTCAATTGATGACATAGAAGTATAATTAGAACATGCGTATTATGAATATGTTAGAATCTATTAGTGGAATAAATTTATATTAATGTAAAACACACACACAAATATATATATATATATATATATATATTATATTTATATATATATATATATATGACCGAATTAATCAATTTTCAATTAATTAAGAGTACATCTATAATTCATATTATGATTCTAATAAATACTTGTAATTATTCAAGAAGTTAAGTGGTTTTACAAGTATTGAATTAGCCTATATTCACTACATATTATGTAGATTCATGTTCAACAGAGCATTTTATCTAATCAACGTTATACTTGAAATATGTGGGTGCTTTAAAAAATGTATACAATTTGCTGATAAAAGAAAAACTACGTAAATGATAGTTTATTTTAGCAAAAAAAAAACCAAAAAAAAAATTAAAATAAAATTAGTTCAATATCGTTAATCGTTATAGCCGTGATAAATCCAACATGGCCCTAAGAAGATATACTATTTGGGAAAATAAACCAAAAATTTTGAAATGATATAAAAAAAATAATTATGTATTTTTTTACATAAAATTGCATATAATTTTGTAAGTTGATAAATTATGCCAGTTGAGTATTTATGAAATTGTTGAGAAAGGCTCAACTCTTTTTTTATAAGAACGGAAAGGCGCGCTATTAAGACGCTAGAAACCACTGCCTTAATAAGAGAAGTCTTACTATTACCCATGTTTAATTTTATTAGAATTTTAATATATTATTTTAATATTTTATTGATATATAATGAAATAATAAATTATAAATTTATCATAAATTAAAAAGTATTGATTTTTCTCAAAAGATTCAAAATATACTCACATCACCAGGAGCGACACAAAACCTTTTCAATATAATCCTGATGCCGTTCATTCACACAAAAATTGAACTAGCGCACATAATAATCTGAGCGCTTGCACTAAAATTAACACTGCATTCACTATTGCAAATAAATAAATAAATAATTGATTAGGTCCTCACTGCACACAATATATTAATTATTCACACACAATTTATCCTAAATTTCCAAGCCGGAAATGCATAAAAGTCCTTCGAGATAAAGTTTAACCTTTCCCGCAATCGCTGTTTGCATAAAAATCGCTGAACGATTTTTGTATACTTTGTGTAACCGCCATAGGCTGGATTATTAATTAATCTTTACGAAGTGCTATAACCACATGATTGAATGATTTTATAAGGAGACAAAAAAGATTTTGTCTGACCAATCTTGACGTGCTGACGGTTTCCGTTGTACTGAACTCAGCATGCAAGCCCGTATTATTGTATACAAGCGATGTACGCGAAGCCATCGCATACAGAATGTAAAATGCCACAGCGTGCCCGATACACAATCGATCTAGTGGGGTACATCGTCATAGTCAAGATCGATATATAGATAGATCATTATAACTATTACGAATAATCAAAATTTAAAGGAAAAATTTTAATACACGCCTATAGGCGACATCCATTTATCAACCTTTGTGTGCCGATCATTGCTTTAACTAGTGGGGCGCATGGCATTGAGCCTTAAACAAATTGCTGGAACTTCCCGTACCAAAAATTATATTTTTTTAAAAGATTAACATTTTTGAAAAAAATTTACTCTGAAAAAATTAGACTTTTGTGAAACTACAAATTTTTGACAAAAATTTACTGTTTTTGAAAAAAAAGACTTTTTGAAGAATATTTTATTTTGAAATATTTTGCAAATTTTGAACTTTTTTTCAAAGCAATCGTACTGCTTTAACTGCATAGAGACGAAATATCGAAGCGCGTAAGCGCCGCGTCGCAGTCTAACGGATAAACATTGGTACGGAACCCATGGGAATGTAAACAAAATTTATACTTGTTAAAATCTCTAAAATATCCGATAATTTGATGTGCATATGTCTAATGATCATTTTTTAACACCAAATGGCATTTTTTTTACTTTTTCTACAAGATCTCCGAAACCGCTAGACCTGCCTTCATGAAAATTTGATCAGTTCTTTATTTGTTAATAAAAGTGAAATGTTTTTTAAATTATTCAAATCGGACACTCCGTTCTCTTAAAACGGAGTTACCTTGCACTTTTTGCCCCATATCTTCGGAACGGCTAGACCTGCCTTTGCCAAAAACTAATCAGCACGTCTCCTTATAAAATACGAAACGAATGTTTTTTGAATTATTCAAATCGCTTCATCCGTATTCCCGAAATCGTCGACAAAAATTTGTATCCGCACACACAAACACACATCAATTTTTTCTATAAGGTATGCCAAAATATTCAGAAAAACGTAAAGATATATAAAAATGTTCATTTTCGATTTTTTGCGAATTCTAATTTGTTATTGTAATTTTTAGGTTTTCAAAAGTGTAATTAATTTTATAACATAATTTTATTGATAATGATTGGAAAATCTTACAATATGTTGCGAAAAAAAACACTTGAGCGGCTTGCTGGCTAGTACAGCAGTGTCACTCCTGCAAAAGTAGTAACATTTAGCTACAGTCATAGTATCCATAACACATTTAGTATATCAATTCTAGATCACCTTAAAATACCATTAATTCGTGATTTTCTTGTAACATTGTGTTATTGGATTTTATATAATAACGTAGATGCAACTATAATACGTCTTAAGCAAATATAAATTTTACACTGTTTCAACAAACCAGTTAACTGTGGCTCTCATTGAACTGTGCGCACAATTTGTATTGCTAGAATCGAGGTAAAATGTATTCAAGTAAAATGTCACAATTACTTATTTTATAAAAGCTACAACTATATTGCCAGTGCTCAAAGAAATCCGGAATTTGTATATAAGAGTAGTCAGATTAACATTATCGTTGTATAAAATAAATGCTATATCATCCACGTTAAGTACTACTCTTCTATTTAAAGCTATTTTGAATAAAAAATTAAATTTGAGACGATGAACTTACAATTTACATAGTCAGCGTCAAAAATGTAATAGCATGACGAGAATGCTCGTCAATACCCTGCTACTATTCCATAACAAGTATATTAGTCAATCAATTAACTGCTTAATATAAACACCTTATAATGGAAAACTATTCAAAATGTTTATATTTATTGACCGATTCTAAAAGCTAATTCTAAAATATTACGAACGCAATCGTACAAGTATTTTAAAAGAAAGATTTATTCAATATATAAAATACCTTTTACCTGTTGTTTGATTTCATAAAATGTTCGAAACGCTACTTTATTTTGGACTTGCACGTAAATGATTTCGACACTCACATGCGTCAGAGTTTTATATACGTATTCTATAATAAAATTAGAACAAACAAATATTCAGCAGAAATTTATTATTTACAATTATACCTCACCGATGAAAATATAAATCCACAAATTCAAAAAAAACGTCATAAGAAAAATTTGTACTCAAATGTACGCAGTTAGTTATTAATAATAGTGTAATTTTAGTAATGAGATTATTTTGATGACCACTTTCTACGAATGCAGACGCTAATTTATTCAGAAACGCACGTGTGTTTGCACAAGTGTAACTTATGATTAAGCAGAAATATTAAATAATGATGCTATAATCGATTCAGATCATCGATTGAAATATAACGTCAAGGGAAATAAATTTTTATTAATGGTATTGTTAGATTGCAGTACATATACATTTTTATAACGAACAATTTTGTAGTAGAAATTAAATTATTAAAAAGTCGAAGCTGAATAGAAGCATAAACTTGACGTGGATGCTATAGGATTCATTATATGTAACGATTAAAATATGATAATTTGACAACCCTTATAAACGGTGTTTAATCAGTTTTCGGATATCACAAGCAATTCAAAAATAAAATGGCTTTCAATTTATTTACCTTGTCGACACTGATACTGACGGCGAACTTGTTAAAATCAAATAACTTAAAATTTTCAAGTTTGCCTATATTACATTTGTATCCGAATTTTGGGTATATTTAATAAAATAATCAGTATTATTAATCTATCAGAGTTAAAATATCAAATTTAAATAAAATAAAATTCAGTTTTAAAAGAAGATCATTAAAACTATAAGAAAATAAACATAGAATCAAGAAAATATATGTTTGGGTATGAGGGGCCGTTCAAGTATTACGTAAGCACTATAGGAGGGCGGGGGAGTTATTGATTTGCTTAATTTGCTTATTTTGGGTAAGAACTTTTGCTTATTTTTGCTGACAAAAGGGAGGGGGGGGGTTAAATAATTGAAATAAATCTGCTTACGTAATACTTGAACGATCCCTAAGCCTATATTACATTTGTATCCAAATTGTGTACATTTAATAAAATAATCAGTATTATTGATCTATCATCGTTAAAATATCAAATCTAAATAAAATAAAATTCAATTTTCAAGAAAATCATTAAAACTATGAGCATAAGAATGAATAAGAAAATATATGTTTGGGTATAAGCAGATGTTCTACAGCTCACAGAGAAAGTACGTTAATAAAGATATAAGTATAAATGTTAGTACTCTTAAAAACCAATTAAAGATTCGACTATAAATTTTATGATCGAAAAATCAAAACTCACTGAATGTTCGACGTCCCGCACGATACATCAGATGTGAATAGTTGCCTTGTTCCCGTCGTGCGTTTGACGTCAATCGCTTCGCTAGATATCCCCTCTAACGCCGCACAAAACGCCTTACGACGGACTAAATGAGAGACCGAAACCGAATAGAGCCAGCAAGAGCACTCGAACACTGCAAAGAACGGAAGGCGAGCGTCCTGACATCGGGTCATGCAAGTATTGCCAAAATGCAACGGTGCAATGGCGCCAAATAATATTTCGTTTAAATTTCAATTTTGATAAAACTAAACCAATTGAAATTGCATAACAGTAGTCTCAAACTAAAGCTCTGTGTTATCTCCTTTAAATTAAATTAAATAAGGTTATTGAATAAACATTTGTTCTTCGAATAATATTTAGTTTAGTGTAGAATTGCATAATAATATTATGTATTATTAAAATTAGTTGTTATAATTAAAATAAACAAATAAACTGGTGGGGTGTATGGCATCGTGCCTTAAGGCAAATTGCTGGAACTTCCCGTACCGTAACGAAATGTTCGAGGAATATTGAATGTTTGCAAATAGATTATTATAAATATTGTATCATTGTCTAATATTTATAAGAAATATATAAACTGAATTGTAAAGTTGAAATTATTTGTTTAAAGTATATTAGATAAGTATATTATCTAATAATTATTAATATATAGAAAGTATATTATTAGTCAGAATTAAAAATAAAATCTGAATTATTTTCGATATACAAATTTTTTTTTTCCAAAATCAATTATTTTGTTAAGCCAAGCAGAAAGTTCTTTGAATCATTTAAATCGGACGCTTAGTTCCCTCAAAAACTACCATTTTTTACACATTTAGCTCCGTATCTTCGAAATGGCTGGGCCTGCCTTTGCCAAAAACTAATAAACACGTCTCCCAATCATTACTAATTGAATGTTTTTCAGATCATTCACATCGGATGCTCCGTTCTCTCAAAAACTCGATTTCTATTTTCTGCACTCTTTGCTCTTTATCTCCGTAACTGCTGGACCTGCCTTTGCCAAAAACTAATAATCTCACCTCCCTATCAATAGAAATCGAATGTTTTTTGAACCATTCAAATCGGTTGATATGTGCGCCCGAAAACGTGACTGGAAATTTGTATCCATACATACATACACACACACACATCCATTGTTTCTGAGGTATGCCAAAATGTTCAGAAACCTTCGAAACGTCGAGAAATGTAAAAATTTTCAATTACGATTTTCGGCCCATTACAATAACTTACCCTACGGGAAGTTAATATAATATCAAAAATCATGAACTACAATAACAAAAATCATGGTCATAATTAAATAATCATAAAACATGAAGTAACTGGGAAATTATGAGTTTTTGTTTGAAATAAGTTGGGTGTTAACATAATAATCATTCAAGATATAATAGAGTGGTACATATATAAAATTTTAATATACAATTTTTATACGAATTTTTACGTTTTATGTCACTTTAAGGCTCACTCGTGGGTAAGTGGCTAGGCTCAGGCTGGACCTATGTAAGTCAGAGCTCTAGGTTCCGGGAGCCTGATGACAAGCAGTAGTAACATCGGTTT